AGTGGCAGGACCCAGGCAGAGAAGCCTACTCGGATCTGGCACCCAGGACCCAGCTGGAGGTGGCTGACCTCCTAGCCACATGGGGCCAGGAGGTCACACTTTGACAGTTCAAAGCAGGCCACCACACTGAGAACATCTGGGCGATACCTGCCCAGATGGCTGGGAGGTGGCACAAATGGCAGCGATGCCACACAAAGGCCAATTATGTAGCCACAGCCCACTGATAGCTGGCCCAGGTGTGCAGATGCCTCTAATGGCCATGCAGTTCCCATCCAGGTATGGCAGGCATGTAGTCTTGAGGCCACATGCTGTTGAAGGTGGCAGCAGGTCACAGCCAGGCTGCAATCCCCACTACCAGACTGCTGCAATGGGTAGAGGGTGCAGGGAACTATCAGGGCTGCTTCATCAGTCCAGCTGGCACAACAGGTAGTGTCCCCAGGTACCAATTGGCTGCACCCCAGAAGCTCCTGAGTGGCCCCGAGCTATTTGCCAGGGCAGCTTTTTATACTGCGGGGGCCAGCACAGGTGCAGCCCCCATCCTCTAGCTGCAGATCTGGGAGGAGCCAGGCAGGGTTATTTTGCCCCAAGTGGCAGAATTTGCCCCACACCAAAGTGCATGTCTGGGCATATGCACTGAGGCAAAAAGCCCTGGCTCAAATTTGCACTGCTTCTATTTGAGCTCATGCATCCACACATGCAGGCATGTGCTCTTGCAACCAGAGAGATTAGGGGCCAGATGCTATTTCATATATTGGACATATTGTAGCAGAAAGCCCCCTTTTCCTCTTGCCTGCATTTGCTCTCCCCTCTTTGGATATGTTTTTCTTTTTCTACCTTTTCTTCCTTCCTCTCTCTTTCACTTTAAGATAAGGAATTGTGTTTTAAAATTTGTATCTCCCCTTGTAGTTTGGTATTTTTATCTATTTGTGTGCCATGTCATTTGTAGCTTATATTTTATACTCCTCACCTTTGATCTTTCAACTGAATGTATTTAGTTTCATAAGTAAATTATACATTGTAACAATGTTAACAAGGGCAGGAATCAAACTGCCCTTCTCTGAATCAGGCTGGCCCCTGAAAGAGCAAGTGAATCAGTGATTGAATGTGTAACATGACTGAATGTGTAACAGTAGCAGCAGACAGCAATTATCACCTGGAAGCTGCAGATCAACCAACAGAAGAACTCAATAGAAGACAATGTAATAACCTGGAAATCTCTAAACATCACTGATCAAGGGCTAGAAGCCCTGGCCCAAGTTAATCAACACCAGGGACCAACTTTTGGGCTGAATATCTCCAGATTGACCACTCCCAGAGCCCCATTCTAAATTCATCAACGGACTCCCAAACCTGCATGTACATGCGGACGACCCCTGGGGCTGACAGATGCCGTCCAGTAGCCACCGAGGGGGGTGGGGTCCCATGAGGGTCAACAACCCCTGGATTGGGCAAACCTGAAAACTGGGGAGTCACCAAAGTCTGCTAAGGACAGATAAAAGGCAGTGAAAAGTGACCCTCAGTGGCGCCCTCTTGATCGCCAACTCAACCAGACCTGTCGAGCCAGAAGGACCAGCCGGCGGCCTCCTTCTGGAAGATAACACCACTCTGAAAGAAGCCTCAATGACAGACTCTAGCACTTGTAGGATAGGTACACCTGACTCTGGAGAGAGACTCAGAGAGGGTGTGTGTGGGTGGGTGGGTGGGCGGGTGGGTGGGGGG